AGTTTGAGCTTGTTTAGATTACCATGGTAACAGAGGCAGAGTTTGAGCTTGTTTAGATTACCATGGTAACAGAGGCAGAGTTTGAGCTTGTTTAGATTACCATGGTATCAGAGGCTGAGTTTGAGCTTGTTTAAATCTCCATGGTAACGGAGGCTGAACTCCTCATGCTGCTGGACCGTCATGTAGGAAAGGGTGTGCATCTTTCATACTGAAAGTTTGTATAGAGACTAAATGAGAAAATTGTGTCTGCACAGAAATTTTCAGATTTATCAAACCGTGCACATGCGTGTTTCTGCACATCTATATACATCCCAACAAATGTGGAACTGAGTGCACATGAGGCACCTCCCCTGACACACCTCAGTTTAAATATTAAAATAGATGCAAAGATGTCCAACATGTGACTCTTTCTTTGTGGTCAAAAACAATCTAGATGAAGGAAAGTTAGGAATTTGATGAAATGTGAGTCAGGGTCGCTCTTAAAGTAATAGAGTACGTAGATGGGTGAAAAAACATGTTTCCCAAATGAGCACAAAGAGTGTGAAGCTGCAGTTGTCAGTGAATAGAGCGAATCTGGGAGGCTGATCTGCTGGTGGCGCACTTCTGAGGCATTTACAACTTTGTGTTTAATAACATAATTTATGTGAACACATTCAGCCTGGTAGAACTTGGAGTAGTTTTTTAAGCAAGTCACATATGATCAACTGTTTCAGACTCGGTGTAGGGGAATCAGGCATCATGGATGAGGTCATCCCACACAGCTGGGATCATGGCTCAGGGACAACGATGAAATACCCGATCATTTGGTCAGTTTGATCCCCAAAACAATTTGCCTCCCAACTCTTCTGTTGGTGTTATCCTCCAGCTGTGCCAGAGCTACCACATTTACCACCGTTTTAGCTAATTATGGACATGCATGGAGTTTTCTGCACCTCATCAAGCTGAGGAATCATAAAACATGAGTTCTGAATTACTTTGATCATCTGACACCTATTTTCTTCTCAGTGAGATGTAAGTTCACCTTAGACAATATACAACAAACATTATGTGCCTCACCTGTGCGTTTTGCAGGCGCGCAATCACTGATGTGTGTTTTCATACCAAAAATGAAAGAAATTACAAGTTGTATTAGAGAAGTTCTGATAATTTTTGAAACGTGGTATATGTTATCTTATATGGTTCCATTTCCTCATTTACATTTGAACTGTAAATACTCAGACAAAACAGTGTTTGAAATCTTGTTGAGTTCATAAAACTAAATGGAGTCTTCTTTTGGTGTATTTAAGCAAGATTCAGTACTTTGTAGTTTTATACTGAAGAGGTTTGTGTGGAGGTAAGCACATTCTCAGAGCAGGTTGAAAGTGTGCATCTATTTACGCACACGTTAGTGTGGTTTGTTTTCATACATCCCGACGTGTGCGTAGAACCAGGTGCACACAATCGTTCATGTGGCCCCTGGTGATGAGTTCAGTTCTTGGTTAAAATCGTTCCTTCTGTCCAAAACTTTTTTTAAATTCACACAATTCGCAGTGATCACAGACAATAAAAAACTGGGAGATTTTTTTTTTTTCCCCACTTTGCATCAGAAGCTGTAGACTGCAGTTAAAAAGAAAAAGAAAAATCATAAATTTGTATCTCTTCAAAAATAACTGATGTATCAATTTTATATTTAGGCACTCATTGATTTGTTGTGAATCTTAATAAAAACACTCCTATTCAAACATTAATTACTTTATGGACTCATTAGCTTTTGAGCCTCTATAGAAAAACTTTTTAATTCTGTATCCTGATGCATGCTCAATAATCCAGGTAGAAAAATCTAAAAAAGTTCAATCTGGTCCTCTGGACATTCAAAAAATAAAACAAAGCAAAACAAAGAAAAAAATGTAGAAACGTTTCGTCTTTCATCCGAAAGACTTCCTCAGTCTGAGGTGCTGTATTCAGCTCAGTCTTATAATCGGGCTCATCAGCCTTCTGGATGGAAGGTGAAACGTTTCAGCACAAAAAAAGAAACTGTCCAGATGACATGACTGAAAATTGTTGGATCGTATACCTGGATTATTGAGCATGGACTTTGTTAAACTTTGAGTAGTTCCTTTAACAATACTTAAAGTTTACCACCAGGGGGAGCTGTGCACATCTAAATCTAAACATCTGCAGGAGACTCAGAGGTGTTGTTTGTAACTCAGCTGAATATGATGGAAAATAGAGAAAAAAGGGGAAAATCAAGGCTTAAAAGATGAAAAATGTAAAATATTAGTTAAAAAAAACTAATTTCCTTTCCATATTAAAAATATTCATTACAAGAAGTGGTTATTAATGGCATGACACCTCAAAGTTCATTTAAACACAAAGCAAGTGCTTCAATAACTTTTACTTTACTAAAAAAAGGAGGAAAAAAGTTCACATTGACATTTAGTTTCAAATTTACAGCATATTGAAATTCTCAAAAGAAGTAAAATACAACAGTTTTATTTCATTTTTATATTAAAAATATCAAATAACTATCATCTAGCAGTTCTTGCAGTTTCTTAGATATGTTGTAGGCTTGAGAGCAGGAAGGTTGGCTTTGAGCTGAACAGACTTCTTGTTTAGTTCCCTGTAAATGTGCATTAGCGCGGCCATTACAGAAATAACTTCCTGACCTGATTCCACTGACGATCTGAACATGCAACGAGGGCAAATGCAAAAAATATCCTACAGAAAACAAAACTAATGTGTGCAGTAACACTTGGAACAGGCTTGAAATGCGGAAAGACAAAAAAAAAAAGCGACCTGTTCATTGTGTCTCACTGTAACCCCCCCCCCCCCCAAAAAAAAAAACATCAACTTCACGAGTGTGCACGTGATCTGAAATTACTTACTACTTGTGATCTTTTTAGCACATCTTACCAGCCCTAAACATGGTGAAGAAAAGCAGACTAAAAACAACCTCACTTCAAAAAAATAACAAAAAAACTCCTCAGAGCACTTCTCTAGTTGCACAAAACTGTACAGGCACACATATTATATATATTTATATATTTATATTTCAAATAAATAGGGCTAATTTGGCCAAGACTCGGTGAAGAGGACTGTCCTCTTCTGTTTGTCAGCACTGAGACACAATCTTTGCCTTTTTTTTCCAAGATGGCTTCCTCTGCCACCACTGCAGTTCTTTTAGTCCCTTAAACAAACACACACACACACAATACATCCATGTTGACGTTCAGCACCACTCGCACAAAGCTAGAAAACAAACAAAAATAAACATTATAAAACATGTAAATGCCTTTTTTTGAAATGCCTCTGATTAAGAAAAAAACTAAATGTGGAGTTTGAGTTAGCGGCTTTCAGACTCAAGGAACAGCTCCTTGGATGACATCGGCTCAGCTGGATGGTGTGCCACTGCACCAGGCTGTGGCCTCTGGACATGCCCCGCCCCCCCTCCAAAATTTCCGAGTGCTCCCAGAGAGGATGGTGGTCTTGTCGACTTGTCTACTGTCCACTCCAACTCGATGCATGACTGTCACTTGAGGAGGACATGTTAAGGGAAACGGTGGTGGGGCGGACATTGGGACGAGCTGCCTGCTGGGAGGAGAGACGAGGTGTGTCTGTCACTCTCAGCTCCAGGTGAAGCCTTCAGACGGACAGGGACGGTGGTGGTGGGGCTTTCTGACGATTAAACATCAGTGGAGAAGTACAGCGTGTTGCGTTTAAGCTCTGCAAAGGTGATGGGAGGATGCTGCAGGTAGTAGAGCAGCACCTGCACCTGAGAGGAAGAAAAAACAAGAGATTATAAATTCATTTTCATATCCAGCTTGGGGGGGGGGGGGGGGGGTAGCACGAAAAGGACTTCTTTAAAGAATAAATATATGATGTATATAAGTTACAATGTTAACAATTTAAATAAATAAAAAGTAAATAAATAAATAAATCTTTACAAAAAATAAATTCTGTCAGTGAATTCTGCTTAAAAGTACTTTAAGACTATAAATAGTAATAAAATAAATGGCATTTATTCTGTATTTAGGAACGAAGAGGGAGCAGAAACCTTCCTGAATGTTAAAAATAGTAAAAAATATTTTCGCTTCATTCCAAACTGACTGCATTTGACAGAGGGGACCTCCTGCACGATGTTTAGTAGAAACTTGTTTATTCAGCTCAGAAACGAGTTTTGCTCACTGGAGGTTTATCTGTCTGCAGAGATAAATACAGCTGGGAGTAAAGGCTGAAGCAGCGTGGGTCACTGGGTTAACTGGGGAGTAAACATGTAGTAAATATGTGCAGCAACAACAAACAAAAAAAAACACTTTAGTCCCTACACATAGATTTGAAGGGTGTCTATCAACAAACTGGATAATAAAAAATGAAAAGGGACACAATTAACAACAATCTATGTGTAGTATATTTATCCAGACTGACCCTGGGGTTTTGATCTGCTCAGAGACGGGATTATAATGAAATTATGACCCAGTTCTGAATGGGTTAAACGGGGCCAGCAACTCTAAAAAAAGTCTCCCAGGGATTCAATATCTATCAAGGAATAGTTTATTTTGCTTGCTGCATCACGCAGAAAGGCTTTTAAGCACCATCTCATATTTTCCTTTCACGTTAACTCACATAAACTCCGTTGAGATCACATTTCGTCACTCCCCCTCCTACACGGTTAGGTTGTGCTCCCCTTCTGTGAAGGAGGAGTCTAGGCCCTATAAATCTGTAATGCGATGGGCCATCTGGCCCTTCCGGCTCCTGATCTCGTGATGTTTAAGTTATTTATTTTGGAGTTTCCAACATCCCTCTACAGTGGCTCTGCAGCTTTTTACCTGTGCCATGACGTCATGTGACCAGATGTCGGAGGCGGACATGATGTGCTGTCCCTTGGCGCTTTCTGACTCTGAGGGCCTGAGCAGGGTGGGCCCGAACACGGTGGCCAGGTTATGGAGGGACATCTTGTTGATGGGCTCCTTCTCAGCCACCCTGCAGGAACAAGAGTAAAACACTTCAACGGCAGCAGGAGATGACCTCCTTAATGTGTCAGGCACTTGTTTACAAACTGCAGCAGAGATGGTCAATGTGGAAAACAACGAAACTCGTCCTTGGTAACGAACAGAAACTTATCAGTCTTAACAGGTCAACATGTTACAGCCATGACTCAGAGTGGACCTTTGTTACTATGGTTTCTAGGATGACAAGGAAAATAAAGTACATGTAAATAGCTTGTTGTTGTTTTGAAGTAAACCTGACTAAGATCTAGCTGCTTTAATAAGGTTTGCATTAGAGGAAAATATGGTAAGAAATGGTCTGAAATATTTACCATGAATATATATAGTCTGCAGAGAAAAATGATTATTAGGACCTCAATCTATTTATTAAATCATTAAAAGTAAACATTAGATATTCAGAAAACAAGAAAATAAAAAGCACAAGTTTTTTTTTATTTTTTTTTATTAACAGTCGATTTTGTCAAATAAATAAATAAAAATTAGTTATTATACAATTACAATCTATAAGGCTGGAGATATAGTTATAAAATACAATCCTGACAGGATGTAGGTGTCTGAGTGAGTGTGTTTGTTTATAGGAACCATAAAGAGGGAAATAAATGTCACATTTTAAAAGCTTTAAACATAAAGTTGACCTGGAAGATTTAATGAGTGCCCCTCCACGGGCCAGGTGTGATCATCCCACGGGCTGGATGTGGCCCGCAGGCTGCCAATTGATTATCACCATCAAACACCATTTGTTTAAATATAGGTGCCTAAAAATAACATTTATAGGAAGAATGACGTTTTATTAATCAGGCGACTGAACATAACTTATATCTGGGTGAATGTGTGTGTGTGTGTGTGTGTGTGCAACCCTTATTTGATCAAGTTTAAAACGTTGATGTTATACTACATTAATGTCACATCTGTTGGGAGTTTTTTTTAATACATATCTTTTTGAAACAGCTTACTGTTTATTTTTAAACATAACATTTGAAACATTTTTTTGTTTGTTTTTCATTGGCTATGGTGATAGTGTTGAGGAGATGAATGGTCCCCAGGAGGAAGCAAAATGTCATGTAAAAAAAAAAAATCAGTGGGAGTGTTTTCAAAACTTCAACCCATGGTTATTTTAATTATTTGTTACTATGAATTTATCAATTAAAATGCATTTTTTAAACCTTTCAGAAATGATGGATCCCATAAGGGATGTCATTGGTCCCCACGAGGTGGTAAAAACGTGTGTGTGTGTGAGTGTGTGTACCGTTTGAGGTGATCCAGCAGAGTTAGAAAGGTCATGAGGTTTGGGTCAGGCAGGGAGCGCAGGAGGTGCATCATGCAGTTCTCCTTGGCTGCCGGGTCTGAGAGAGCTGCCAGGGAACAACAAACAAATGGAGATTAAGTCACACCTTTATCCTTTTAAGCCGACTGATTATATCCCTCTGTAAAAACTCCAAAATGGCCGACACATGACGGTCTGAGTTTAGTGTGAGGTCACACCTATGCCCTCCATGAAGGCGGGGTAGAGTCGGTCGGTGAGCAGCGGCTCCGGCAGCTCCCTGAAGTACAGCTTGAGTGTTCCTGCGATGGCGTTGATATCCATGTCGCTGAGCATCACCAGGATGTCTTTGGTATCTGCAGATCACACACAGACCAGTTCATGATGGATCACACAATATTACTGCCTCTCAACACCACAGCTGCTCTCTCTAGGCTCCGTCTCCAGGAGACAGATGCAGACGGGCTCAAGGCTACACACTAAACAACAAAGGAGATACCAAGCTCTGCTCTGGACCTGAGAGGAGCCAAAGCAGCTGTGAGCGAGGCTGAGAGAGCGCTCTTCAACACAAGACACTGGGCAGCTGTCGCTCCTCACACATCTGTTAATGCTCCAAAGACCAAGAGCACAGCTGCAGATAGGTCCATCCATCTGAAACCTCCAGCAGTAAACTGACTTTAAAGACCTGAGACGGTGCATAAACTGTGCTCATGTTGTGGCAGCTCCAAGATGAACGGGAGAAACAGAGTGGACTTTTACTTGTGTCGAAAGCTGATTTGAGGGCCTGGATGTCCGTGGCCACCCCTGAGATCCGGTAGATGCCCACTTCATCAATCCCCCTCTTCTCCACCTCCTCAATGCACTGACGGACGATGTAAGGCACCTTGGAGCGCTCGCGCCTGCGAACATCAGCAGCTGTTAATTTACAGCAGACGAGCACGAACACGCATGTATTTAAAACAAAATCAGGTCTGTTACAGAAATACAGTAGTCCCTTGTTTATCGTGGGGGGTTCTGTTCTCAGTCCACCCATGTTTCTAAACTTTAAACGCTCTGAAAGAGCACAGAATGTCATGATGTCCGCTCTCTCTGCCAGCGCTCTTGGCCACGCCGACTTCTCTGCTGCAGAGCAGAGATCCTGACCTGCTGCAGGAGAGAGCTTCTCTCTGCACATGTGGGCTTCACACAGGTGCTAAATAATTTAAAATAATTTATTTTAAATAAAAAATCCATGCCGATCGTGCAGCTCATTATGTGTCATGCCCAATCTTACTTTGAAAAAGCGCAAAAGAGCGAGTTCATGAAAGTCGAACCATGAGGTAGCGAGGGACTACTGAATTTGAGTTATCAGCCCATAAACAGTAAATGTGACTAAAAACCAGGCAGCTGAGGCATGCTTACTTTGTAACCACGTTGATTTTGACTCCAAACACCCCACTCTGTTTTTTGGACGGCGTTCTCTTTAAGCTGAGGTCCCGACTTGTAAACTTCATGGAGAACTCCACTTTGATCTGAAAAGTCAGGATTAAATAAACTTTACTAAACCTGGAGGGTGATTACTTTGTGACAGAGCTCAATTAGAGCTAGAAAAAAGCTACAAACAATATGAGTTTACAGTACCACGGGAAATCAGAAAAATAATAGAAGATTGTAAAGAAAAACAATATATTATTGTGTATTATACGTTCACAATTGTTGCACCAGAATTTACTTTATAAGGAAAAAAATCTATTAAATTAGTGCTCATCAGAGGGAAATGTTGCACATTAACTGATTAATTACAGTTCTCAAAGTAGAAATAAACCCACAGCTTTAAACAAGAATGAGTTGTTTTACAGCAGGAAACATTTTCATGCATTTTGCTTTGTTGTTATAATAAATACATCCACACAGAAAGTGTTGCAGGAATATTCCAATCAGATCTGTTCATGTTCAGAAATGTACATCTCCCTTTAAATTAATCTAACTGATCTAACTCTGTGTGTACGCAGGAACAGCTGAGTTTTAATTCAAATACGACGATTAGAAAAGATGTCTCTGCCCCCCAAATAAATACTAAATATTTATTCAGAGGCAGAATTAGCATCAATATTCCAGGTTTTAAAGTGTTTTCAGAGAATCTGGAGTCTCACCCCGTTCATCTCGATGACGTCCATGTGCCAGTTCTTGGACTGAACGGTTTGTGGATCCAGCTGAGGGACAGAAAACAGACAGGAAGACGACAGTTACGGTGTGTGAAACATCTTTGACCAAACTGGAACAAATAATTCATGCAGACTGTGTCCACAGGAGGTCATCACACTGAGGCAGACACAAGAGGTTCAATTCTGCATAAATGTAATAAACATAGAGCTGCATTTTAAGAATGTGGCTTTTCCACAAGAGTCTGCCATTTAAAAAAAAAAATCTGTTACTATTTGAATAGATCCTAAAATTCTGAGCAGTAAAACTTAGAAAAAAAAATAAAAAGAAAAAACAAGATAAACTGTAGGGAATTGTTTTCTTTTTTTTTGTTTTTGCTCAAAGTAAATAAAAATAAATGTACTGCATACAACACAAACTGTTATACAAAAATTTATAGCTCGGACACGCAAAGGCATTTTATAAAATGTGACCTTGACCTTAAGGGTGATGAAAAGGTACGTGATAATCCATCTAGTGATGATTCATAAGTGTACGAAGTTTCATTAAATTATCTCGAGCAAGTCAGAAGTTATGAACTGAACAAGAGGAAGCTTACAGATCATTAAAATACGACTTTGACAGGCGTATAAAAAGCACACTATTGTTTCAAACTCAAACACTCCTGTGTGTCAAAGGAAACTTGCAGCATGATGCGACATGCATGCAGAAGGTCTGCCGACTCCTGGTTACCATGACAACGATGGGAAACATCTTGGAGTGGCTTCAGTTTCTGAATGAGAGCAGTCCAGATGCTGCTGTGTTCTGATGGGAGCTGATTCACAGCAACACGGCTCTAACGTTAGGAACCATGACGGTCCTGTGAAATGGACATATTCTCAGGGGTTCAACAAAAAGCTCAGAACCACGGCCCGCTTCACTGCAATCATAGGCCTGTCACGATAACAAGTTTAGTTGGACGATTAAGTGTCTCAGAAATTATTGCGATAAACGATAATATTGTTTAAAACTTGACAACAATTAGTAATTATTGTCAAATTTAAGAAGAAATGTTGATTTGTTTCGAGTGTAGTACATTTTTTTCGACCACCGGATGGCAGTATAAGATTGTTTGAACCGAAGGATGGTTAGTGAGGGAACGAGCAGCGTGTCTCTTTAAGAAAAATGGGAGGGAGGCCCCTTGACGCGACATGGGCTGTCTCTCCTTCCTTTTTTTTCAGTTCTCAAATTAGTGGACGCTCGGTGTGGTTTGAGCTCTTTAACATAGCATTTTTCACACAAAGCTTTTAATAAAAACCAGTAAACATGTTCTCAGCTTCTTTTTGCAGAGAAAATAAACTTTTTACACAAAGGCACAGGTTTCAACTGTGAATTTTGGAGCATAGACAAGACAGAGGTTTTTTTCCCCGAGGTCGACCTGTTAGCTTAGCTCGTAGCTTAGCTTCTCAGCTTAGCTGCTTTTAACTG